GGGGGGTGGGTGGGGATGTTGAACAGGTGGACAGACAACGCGCCGGAGGGCGGGTTTTCGTGGGGGAGGGTAGTGCGGCAGCGACGGCAACGCCCATGAGCTGGCTTCGGGCATGGCGACGGCGTCGCCATCCGGGCAAAGGGCTCTGCAAAGACCGCTGTTGCCCACGGTCAGCGCAGCTGTGGCCGCCGCCGATGCCGCCGCTGCACCGCGCCGCCGCCGGTTTTCGAGCTGCTGTCGCTCAGCGGCGTAAGGAGGCTGCGCCGCAATAAGTGCTGTTGAGGCAGCGTGCAAAATGCTGCGCATGCTGCCCGCAACTGATGCGGGCTGCAGCGCTGGAAGATGCGGCATACAGCCACACTCCCATTCTCAAACTCCTGTCACGAGTGCAGAACAGCTTGGCACTAAACACTGCTGCTGGGCCTGCCGGACGCAGCAGCCCCTGCCGCAAGAGTGCCTGCCCCAAATGGCTGTCACAGCGTGCAACGCTGCGGCGCGCCACAGCACAGCCGCTGGGGCCACCGCCGCAGATAGCACCGCTGCAGCGTCTCCAAAACCGCAACAGCAGCTGCTTGTGTGCGCGCCACCGCCGCCGCCACCGCCGCCACCACCGCCGCGGCACTGCAGCGCTGCTGTCCCGGAAGGCAGGGGCGCGCAAAACGCCCCAGCTGCCGCAGTCTGCACGCCTCCCCACAGCAGCGCCTGCCCAACACGCCCGCGCTTGTGGCGCCTACACGGAGGACAGCTGCTTCCCTCAACGACTAGCGGCAAGTTACTAGCCGCAGCATCGCCTGCCATGATCGTGCGGCCCCAAGCGCAAGTTTGATGCATCGCAGCAGCGTCCGCTGTTGTTCCCGCGCCGCCGCCGCTCACCCGCGTACGGTCCTCCAGAAGATGCGCGAGGGCGCCCTGAAGTGCCAGGGACCGGCCCTGTTGGGGTTGGTGTTGTGCCTCTTCTGCAGGAAGCGCGAGTACTTCATCCTCTGGCGCACCAGGCCCCCGGAGATGGTAATCTCCTCCGCGCGCACCACCACCTGCGTTCCGGGTGCATCAGTGAGTCCTAGAAACACTTGCACAGCCGCCACACCACCCTCTAGGCTCGTAGAGGCTCCTCACAATTTGGTGGCCCGCCAGGATCTGCTTGGCGACTATGGACGCCAGGCGCCCGAGCATGTGCGCGCGGGCATCGATGACCTGCGTCGAGGGGCGGAAGGGTGAGCATGAGGGTGCACAGGAAAGAGGGCCGCCCGCATGCAGCAGGCAGCAGCAGCAGCAGGCGGCGACCATACTCACCACTGCCTTCGGCATGTTTGCTGCTGCCAGCACCCCCTTTTGACAGCCTAGGAAAGAGGGCGAGCAGTGTCGCTGCGAGGTCTTGGTGTCGAGCGTGACACTTCAGAACTCAGAGAGTCGGCGCCCTTAAGTACTGCGTGCCGACCTGATAAATGCACAACGTGGATTGCAGGTGTTTTTCAAAGGATTCAAAATGTCACATGTGTGTCGAGGGAAGGCCCAGGTTCGGCCTTGTGAGATGCGGCGCGTCCCACCTGACGCACAACCGACATCGCGGGCCTAGCAGTGTCCTAAAGACCAGTGTGCTTTGTCAACCATGGGATAAATCTACTATTGTGATTGTGCACTGGGGCAGGATGGCAGTAACTGAAGAAAGGAGCCCGACAGCAAATCCCAGCACGAGCAGCAAGGTTCATGCCCTCATTGGATGAAAAGCCCACTGGGTGCCTGCAAGCACACCAGTATTACACTGAACCTGAGTGCAAGAAAGATAACTTTCATGTAATTGCATCGCCTTGTTAATGCGTACGCATTACATGATTCCCTCAGGGCGTGTGCGGAAGCCTCAGCGCTGTGAGCTTATCAAGATATCAACGTAGCAACCATTGCAAGCGCAGCGGTGCCCCCTGATGCCCGGTTGTTTGCTTCCAAATATTCCTCGGTTCCGAAGCTTTTATGGCTGCATGTCGGCTGTGCCACATGTGAAGGCGTCCTCACACCACCCCCTCCATTCTTGTTGCCCCTCAGCGGGCGACACACACTCGGCAGGCGGGCGGCCGTAGGTGTGCAGGTTCCCGTGACTGCCATGCGATTTGGTGGACTTATCACTTGTGGTCGTGTTTGCAACAGCATCAGCGCTGCCTGGTGTGTGGCCCAAGGTTCCAGCTGCCCGTGCCGCTTCTGGTGACTGTTGACTGCGCCATGCGCCATGTTGAGCTGCCCGTGTGCATGATCATTTACGCACGATCACATGAGGTACATTCGTATAAAGTTTTGAGACACCGATTACTGAGACAGGATCATGATGCCGTCTCAAGGACGGGGCCTGGCCCTGCTCGTGGCCTTGACACTGTGCCTGGGAGCCCTCGCACTGCCATGCCCGCCATTCGGGTTTGATTCTGTGGAGAACCTGGACCAGTCCAAGTTCCTCTCTGGAACCTGGCACGCCCAACTCCAGGCAAACGGTTTACTGCGACCGCGTGGTGGACCGGGGCTGGGGCCCAAGAACCCGTGCTTTTGTAGCCGTGGATGCCTTAAAGCATCATGTACGTGGCTTTTCAATGGCTGTGCCAGCCGTACATGGCCCCGCCACTGATCCGGATTTGCGCGATTGCTGCCGCGGCCGCCCGCTGCTGCTGCTGCACGGCGACCTCGACGCATTTCGCAGGTGCCCAATGCGCTCCAGCCCGAGAACACGCTCTACTGCGTCAGGTTAGGCCCCATTCATGGTCTCAACGCTGCTCCTGCAGCCGACCGGCCGCAGCACGCCTGACGACCCCATCTAGCGGCCGCCGGCCCGCCGCCCTCAACCTGCCATCTGACCCGCACCCCCTGCAGGGCGGAGTACGTGCCCCACAACCCCGCCGACCTGAATGTGAGCGGGGGCAGGAAATCCAGGCGGATGGGTGCACCGCATGCCCTGTATGCTCACCCGGCCCTCCGCAGAGGACTGGGGACCCGCTGCGGGCCCATTCGCAAACAACTCTCGACAGTGCGGCGGGCTCCCAACCGTCTCGAAATCAGCGCGCGCCGGGCGCGCGCCCCGAGCCTCCGCAACATGCGCCCCTCCCAACGCGTTCACCACCTTGCCACCAACAGCCCCGCCCCGCGCCCCGATGCGGCCCTCCCCTCAACCCCTCCTGCCGATTCGCAGCAAGGTGTTGAGGTCCTGCATTACTACAACCGCCACAAGCCCAACGGCGAGGTGGTCGCCCTGCCCCGGGGCTCCGGCGGCGGCCTCATGGTGTTCCCATCGGTCAAGGGCCTCTTCCTGAACGGCAAGGACTCCACCCGCGCGTCAAAGTTCAACATCGGGCCCAAGAGCCTGGAGGGCGCGTACCGCGCCGGCTACGCCAAGGCGCTGTACGGCCCCTGGTGGTGGGTACCGCCGCGTGTAGTCAAGACGGGGGCTGCGGCGATGCAGGGGCAGCGGAAGGAAGGGTGAAGAGAGGAGACTGGCCGCAGCCGTGCGTGTGCTGCAGCAGAGGGGGCAGGGCGATGTGGCAAAGAAGACGGGAACACGTGCGCCTCTCTCTCTCTCGCTCATCCCAGGGTGGTGGCGGCCGGCGCCTCCAAGGACCCCAAGCTCGGCTACGACTGGGCAGTGGTGTCAGGCGGCGCCCCCAGCGTCCCTACGCTGCACGGCAAGTGCCGCACGGGCGACTTCATCAAGACGCCCCTGGCCGGCATGAAGGGCGACGGCCTCTGGCTGTTCACCCGCAACCCGATCGACCCCAAGCACACCAAGGACGCGCTGGCGGCGGCAGGCGCCCTGGGCTTCGACACCAAGGAGCTGCGCCCGGTGGTGCAGCGCGGCTGCCTCTACGGCGCCCCGCCGGCCGCCGCGGCGCCCGCGGCGACGCCCAAGACGGCGACCACGTCCAAGCCCGCCTCGAGCGGCGCGCCGGGCACGCGGATCGAGTCCGGGAAGCAGGCGCCCAAGGCGAGGCCGGCGGCGGCGGCGCCGCCCAACGGCGGGGAGCCGGTGGTGACGCGCAAGATCTTCTTCGATCTGGCGCAGGGCGGCAGCGATCTGGGCCGCGTCGTGCTCGGCCTGTGAGCAGCAAGATGGGGGCGGGGCCGCGGGCGGCGGGCGGCTGGGGCGAGGGCGCGTCGAGGAGGGTCGGGTTTGCACACCGTAGCAGCTTGGAGAGCGGTCGGGGCAGCAGGCAAGGATGAGAGGCCCAGAGGAGATCCTCATAGAGGGGTATGTGTTTACTCACGCTCACGCTCAACCCTTTCTCGCCGCTTCACCGCACGACCACCACCACCGCACCTGCGCAGCTACGGCAGCGCGGCCCCGAAGACTGTTGAGAACTTTGCAAAGATCGCCCTGGGCCAGACCAAGGACGGCGTCAGCTACAAGGGCTCACAGTTCCATCGCGTCATCGAGAACTTCATGGTGCAGGTGAGAACTATGGCGAGAACTGTCCGTCCGAGACGCCATTTGCGCGCCCTTGCACGGCGAGTGCTGAAGCATGTACGCGCGCTGCGCCGCGGGTCCGCGGCTGGTGTGAGGCTCCCGACCCCCCTTGCGGCGTGAAGCAAGCCTTTAGCACCCCTTCCTGGGTTGCATATGATGAAGTCGCCAAAGGTCACATGCCAGCGTGTTATGAAGCCACGTCTGCACACACACACACACACACACACACACACACACACACACACACACCAGGGTGGTGATGTCACCAACGGCGACGGCACCGGCTCCTACACCGTCTGGAAAGGCAAGGGCGGCCGCTTTGCGGATGAGAACCTGGGCCTCGCCAAGTTCACAAAGCCCGGGGTGTTGGCCATGGCCAACGCAGGCCCCAACACCAACGGCGCACAGTTCTTCATCACCACGGTGGTGGGTCTCTCCGGCATTTGCGGCACAGCACCTCCGACACCCAATTTTGAAACCTGGTCCCAGATAATGCACGCTTTGGTTCTGTCGCAACGCCACCATGGCCGCAGACCACCACACCCCCTCTCGCCCGCTTGCTGCAGTGCCGCAGCCCCGGTTTGCCGCCTGCTCATCCCCCCCCCCCCCCCCCC